CAGGAGATTGGCAGGTCGCGGGAGGGCCGGCGCGTGCGCACTGGCCTGCCGGCGGCCGGTGGACCATGGAGGCCCCAAGGCGCTCGGCCCCGGGCTGGTCCCCCCGATCGCTCCCCCAGCCGCGAGGGCCCGATCTGAAGCTGTGGCTCTGTGAGTTGTGGCTGCTGCTGCTGACTTCTGGCCTGAGCTCGAGTTTTTTGCCCGACGAAGAGGACGTAGACTTTATCAATGAGTACGTGAACCTCCACAATGAACTGCGAGGCAAAGTCTTGCCCTCAGGGGCTAACTTGCGCTTCATGGTGAGGCCCTGAGGCGGTTGCCCGAACCTCTGACCACCCTCGTCCCGACTCGTCCCCGGCCTCGCTAAGTCTGGGCCACTGCGCAGAGACTTAAGGGTCGTGGGGAACCGCCCTTTTAGTTTAGGTTTAAAAATGTGTACACGTCAAGTTTATCCACTGAAGAAATTAAAACCACTGTCTTTTGAACAAATACTGATTCCCAAGATTTTGCACAGGGCTGGGACTAGGGTGAGTAGAGGCATTCGCCTGAGGTATAAAATTTAAGGAGGCTTCACTTCGAGAAAATGATAGTTCGATGCATTATATATATATTTAAACTTATAAATCAATGCAAAAATATTGATGAAGGCAGTGTCCATTTAAACAACAGGATCCTTGACTTCAATTAGGGAGAGGCAAGTGAGGCACTCTCAGGATGGTGCAAATCAAACGTCAGACCTTGTTTTTATTTAAAATAGTGATTTCTTTCCCATCATGGATGTCTTCACATTAATTTTGTCTTTTAAAAATATTACTTTGATTATTGAGTTTTTTGGTATCCACCCTAAATTTTGCTCCCGAGGGAGTGTCTCCCGAGGGAGTGTCTCAGTTGCGTTCCCTTAAACGTTTCTTCTTGCTTCTTTCCCATTCCCTCCCTTTCCCCATTTCTGTTTAACGTTTCAGCTGTTCCCTTGTTGCTCCTGATTGCCAGTAAAAATGACTGTAAAATGGCCCTGGCCAGTGTGGCTCAGCTGGTTGGGCATAATCCTGTGCACGGGAAGGTTGCTGCTGGATCCCTGGTAGGGGGAAGGGCCCAGATGGCAGATTGATGTTGGGCTCTCGCACCAATGTTTCTCTCTCTTATAATACAATTTTTATAGGTTAGGTATTTCTAATCTCTAAATATTATATTTCAAACATAAAGAAAAGTATAGAGAATAATATAGCAGACACTTGTGTACCCTCAATATATATCTTAATATATGAATATTTTAATAGGAATATTAAAACTATAGGGGAAACAGTTTAAAGCCCCAACCTAAATTTTTACCCTTCTCCTCTTTCTAAAAGTTGGTGTGTGTTTTCCCATGGATTTTTGCTAGGATGGAAATATTAACTGTAAATAGAATAGTTCATTGTAATAGTATGGTCTGCTTAGAACTTCTCCTTGAGAGGTTAGAAAATCATACATTTTATTCTCATTTTTTTATTGGTCCTTAACATTTTAATATATGTATAAGTTTACAAAGTCCAAAGTTAATCAACATCTATAACCTCCTTCCAAATATTAAAGAGATCTTACAACAACACAAATCCTAAATCTGTTGCCCGTGTCCTTGCTGTTGTCATCCAGTATTTTTCTTCTACCTTATCATTAAACTAAAAAAATTTTGGGTTTTTTTTTATTGTTGTAAAATATGCACAACATAAAATTTAACAATTTGACCATCTTTTATTGTACAGTTCTGTGGCATTAAGTACATTCATTGTTGTGCAACATCACCAGCATTCATCTCCAGGACATTTTCGTCTTCCCCAACTGAAACTCTGTACTGATTAAACCCTAACTCCCCATTTCCTTCTTACCCCAGTTTCTGGCTACAGCCATTCTGCTTTCTGACTCTATGAATTTGACTACTCTAAGTACTTCATAGAAGAATTATACAGTATTTCTCTTTGTGACTGGCTTATTTCACTTAGCATAATGTTTTCAAGGTTCATTCATGTTGTAGCATACGTCAGAATTTCTGTCTTTTTAAGGCTGAATAATGTTTCACTTTGTATATATACCACAATTTGTTCACCCATTTATCTGTCAATGAACACTTGGGTTGCTTTCACCATTGGCTGTTGTGAATAATGCTATGAACATGGGTGTGTACAAATATTTGTTCAATTCCCTGCTTTCACCTCTATTGGATACATACCCAGAAATGGAATAGCAGGAACATATGGAAATTTTGTTTAGTTTTTTTAAGAATATGTTTTATTGGTCTTAGAGAGAGAGAAAGGGAGAGGGAGAGAGAGAAACATTGACCAGCTGCCTCCTGCATGTCCCCTACTGAGGATTGAGCCCAAAACCCGGGCACGTGTCCCAGTTAGTGCATGGGACAATGCTCAACCAACTGAGCCATACCAGCCAGGGTTCTATGTTTAATTTTTTGAAGAACTGCCATTCTTTTTCCCGTAGTGGCTGCACCATTTCACGTTCCCACCAGCAATCCATGAAGCTTGTAATTTCTCCACATCCTTAACAACACTTGTTAATTTCTAGGTGTATATATATATATATATATATATATATATATATATATACACACACACACATATATACACACACACACACACACGCACACATATATATATCCATTTTAATAGGTGTGAAGTGGTATGCCATTATGGTTTTGATTTGCATTTCCCTAATGTATATTTCTGTTGAGCATCTTTTCAGGTGCATATTGGACATTTGTATATCTTCTTTGGAGAAATGTCCATTAAGTCCTTTGCTCAATTTCTGGTCAGGTTTGTTGTTGGTTTTGTTAGTTGAGTTGAAGAAATTCTTTATATATTCTGGATAGTAATCCTTTATCAAATATATAATTTGTAAATGTTTTTTCTCATTCATAGGTTTCCTTTTCATTGTGTTGGTGGTATCCTTTGATGCACAAAAGTTTTTAAATTTGATGAAGTCTATTTTTTATCTCGTTGCCTGTGCTTTTCGTGACCTATCCAAGAAATCATTGCCATATCTAATGAAGCTTTTCCCCCTTTGTTACCAGAGGGCTGGCTGAGTCAGAGAGGGTTCAGCTCTCCCGTCCTCAGCTCCTGTCAGCTTGAGAGAAAGAATTCAGATGAGTGACAGAAAGTAGTGTTGAAGCAAAGCAAGGGAATTTAAGAATACACTTGGCATAAAGCACAAATGGACAACTCAGCTAGTCCGAAGGCCCTCTCCTTTGGGGTTCCCCTCCCCTGGGATCAGAATTAGCATACAGAGCTTCAAGCTCCCCCTTGTCATTGTGGTTTGACTGTTGATAATCTTGTTTTGGCAGGTCTTAGGACTGCTTGGGTGTGATAATAACTCCCCTCTCTTGCTTTAGTGTCTGTCTATCCCGCCTGACACTTTGTTTACGTCTAAGAATTATAGTTTTAGCCAACAGGTACATGAAATGTGCTCAACATGACTAATCACCAGAAAAATGCAAATCAAAACCACAATGAGATGTCATCGTATACCTATTAGAACAGATATCTTCAAAAAAACAAACAATACCAAGTCTTGATGAGGATATGGAGAAAAAGGAACCCTTGTGAACTGTTGGTAGCAATGTAGCTTTGTGCAGCCACTATGGAAAATATGTTGTATATTGATTTGATATGATTTCAACTCTGCGTATATATGACAAAAATGAAGTTGTTTTAATAGTAAAGTTGTTTTTACTTAAGAGTCAGGTAAGATGTGTCAGATATCATCATTTCATCTGTTGTGCTTGCTAAGCATTTAGGAGATCAGCTGATGAAGGGTGCTGCTGGAGCTTATTGATAAAAACATCTGAAGAGCCCTGACCAGTGTTGCTCAGTGGTTAGAGCTTTGGCCTGTGCACCAAAAGGTCATGGATTCGATACCTGGTCAAGGGCACATATCTGGGTTGTGGGTTCCCTCCCAGGCCCAGTAGGGGCACATGCAGGAGGCAACCAATAGAAATGTCCCTCTCACATTGATCTCTCTCTCTCTCTCTCTTTCTTTCTCTTTCTCCACACCCCCCCCCCCC